TACAGTGCATACAAGCTAAAATCAACCACAAAATTTCAAGCTCTTACTACTTTTTTTAAAAAGATGTTTTTAATTAAAACTCATCGTTATTCAATAAAGGAGACTTGGATGAATATGATAACGATTAGTTTTTCTCCAAATTCAAGATATAAGAAAAGTTATAGGTGTTCAAAGTTTATTAATTGTTATTAATGATCGTATTCAAATTGAAACATTGACTCAATGCACGTGAAATGAATTTTATTGGTCCATGCATGTAAAACGAATTTTATTGGTGAACAATGATCCATGCACGTGAATCCATTTTTGATTGGTAATGGTGAGTCACCTCACTCAACTATGCCTCGTCCGTCTAAAAAAAAAAAGCAAGTAGCTGCTGCTTCGGAAGCTCGAAGAAAGAAAAGACACCATTTGAGTAATGAATCTGACGAAGATGATTACTCAGGTGATGAATTTGATTGCGGGTTCGATGTTAATGAAGATAATGACCAAACTATAAGCGAAAGTCACAGAAATGCTATGTTTAAACTTATGGAGGCAAGTAAAACTTGGCTGAACAACGACCAAAGATCTTTAGTATATATTGGTAATTCGAGAACGACAAGATGGCGACGAAAAGTTTTCTTCAAAAAAGCAGCAACGCAAACATCAACTTTGGAAACATTTTTTATAAATGCCAACGGGAAAGAAATATCTGTTAATGAAACGTCTATTAATGAAACGTCTATTAAATTGCTAGAGGAATATGAAATCGAGAATATTGAGATTGAAGAGGAGGAGGAGGAAGAAGAAAAGGAGGATATTCTAAAAATCGCAGCAAGAGACCTACAAAAAGATATTCAACAACAAGACTCTCCTGTTCTCAAGTTGCGTCTCCAATCCATACACCAATATCTTAATCTTCTTAATAAAAAATGGCCGAGGATAAAGGCGGCAACAGCAATAAGTGAGGCTCTTGGCCGGGGGTCGTATTATGCTAAAAATATTCGAACATGGACGAATAACTACGTTAAGTTCCGGACACTTCCAGTAATTAAAATGTGACACACTGAAAACTTATTTGCTTGTTCCGAATATAAAGTAATCACTCAAAATTTATTAATTGTTAGGTAACAAGAAGTGGCCTTCATATCAAAACTATTACGTTCCTCTGGGATGAGGATATTGTCAGCCAAATAAAATCTTTTATCCGATCTAATAAGTTCGAAGTATCTCCAAAGATTTTGACAGAATATATAAACAAAAATATTCTTTCTGGTAAATACATTATACATGGCCTTTTCTAAATACAGAAGTGATATTTGTTTTCATTCTAATATATCTTATAGGTCTCGGTTTTGATCCACCTCCAACAATCCATGTTAATACAGCACGTAATTACTTAAAAGCATTTGGTTACGAATTTTCTCGTACAAAAAAGGGAATGTATGTTGATGGTCACGAACGAAAAGATGTTGTGGAATACCGGATGATATTTCTACGTAAAATGTTAGAGTTAGAAAAGTTGATGCCAGTGTTTGATGGTGAGAACATGGAGGTAGAAACATGGCCAGAGCTACTTCCTGGAGAAAAGCCGCATATACTTGTCACACATGATGAATGTGTATTTTCATCATATGATGGAATGCCAATGTGTTGGATGCCTCAAGGTGAACAGCCATTAAGAAAGAAAGGACAGGGACGGTCGTTGCATGTTAGTGAATTTTTGACGGATATGTGTGGACGTTTAAAGCTGGAGGTATGTTAATCTTTTTAGAAGCTTTAAATTTTATTATATAATTAATATTGTGATAATTTTTTTATTACAAGACAAACTCTCCGAACTATTTCAAAGAGGCCTGTGTTATTATGACTCCGGGTGCCAATAATGATGGTTGGTGGACAGGTGAAGATCTTGTTGCACAAGTACGAGATAAGGTAATTCCCATTTTTGAAGAACAGTTTCCTGACGCAATTGGAGTTTTTGCTTTCGACAATGCAACTAGTCATGCGGCCTTTGCACCCGACGCTCTTGTGGCCAAAAGAATGAACTTAGGACCAAAAGGAAAGCAACCGAAAATGAGGTAAGTTAATTATGTCGATGATATATTCTTATTAGTTCTATGCTAATCATATTATTTTTTTCAGATCCACAATTTTTGGAAACGGAATTTCGCAAAATATGGTTTTTCCCTTGGATTATCCAGATGTCTCACTTCGAGGAGAGCCAAAAGGATTGCGTATTGTATTGTCTGAGCGTGGGTTATGGCGAGCAGGTCTCCTTTTGAAATGCAAGAATGGATGTGAATTGGGAGCTACGAATTGTTGTGCAGTTACGATCATGACTAGTGAGCCTGACTTTATGGAACAAAAATGCCGGCTGGAAGAAGTGATTACTGCGATGGGACACAAAGTGATTTTTTATCCTAAATTTCATTGTGAACTTAATTATATAGAGAATTTTTGGGGTGCCGTCAAACAATACACACGTGCAAATTGTAATTACACCTGGAAGGGGTTACAAGAAACTGTTCCAAAAGGATTGGATTCAGTGTCTTTGCCAACTATCCGACGTTTTGCTAGAAAAGCCTTTCGTTACATGGATATATATCGCAAGGGTTTAACTGGAAAAACTGCTGAATATGCAGTAAAAAAGTATCGGTCACATAGAAGAGTTCCAGATTCGATATTTCATGATATTGCAATTATTAATAACTAACAATATAATTGATCAATCCCGTTATCATATTAGTTATATTAGTATTTTAATGGTGTATCACTGATACATTCGATTAAGTTTATAACTCGCAATATAACAATATATCACGTGATTTTTTTAAAAAGTATTTTAAATCGATTTTTTGGCCAATTTAAATTTTAGATTGAAAATTTTGAAAATTGAAACAAGATCACGTGATTGGTCGGTTTTAGCTTGTATGCACTGTA